GGTGCATATCTAGGGTTTAGGGTGATCTATATAGAACCCGACACCCTAACAGAGTATGTTTCTACAAGGCTTGTGCATTCGGCTCCTGTGTCAGTGCTTCCCGATACAATACACTCTCAAATCCCGGGACTCTTGCACTATATAATACATACATATATATATATATACACTCTGATTCAGAAAACATAAACGGATATCCTCCCAATAATCCCGGAACTCGAATTCCTGCTTTGGTTTTTATCATCACCGTCCGAAACTTATTGAAATCCCCGAACCCGGAAGTCCTTGCACTCCTATTCAAATTTGTTCATCTCCGTCCCGGAAAGCTTCGCCGAAAATCTTCCCCATAGCCCCGGATTTTAAAACATATATTACTACATATACACCTGATAACTGTACACATACACCCATCAAATATCTATCTGACTAGGCAGATCCCTTCCTTACCGTTCAAAAGCACAAGCCCCTCAAACACAACACCAACCTGCTGACATGTTCTATTTCCATGGACCCTACAGATCCGAGCACCATTGATTCACTCCCGATGCATCCAAATCCCAAACCTCCGAAAACCCTGAAATCCTCAACTCCTTGAACTTGATCCCGATTCTCCGGACTCAGATACTCTAGATAAACCTTGACTCCCCAAACCCAATCCAAACCTGATATCGACAGGACGAATTCGTCCGGAGGGTCAATATCGAGAAGAGGCAGACGCAGGAGGTCAAATACCGTTGCCGTGCCCGATGGGCAACAGAAGACAAGATGCGGGACGAGATGAAGTACAAAGAGTGCCATGATGAGTTACGATTGCATGCCGATCCTGTGTTATCGACCCCATATCTCTGCATTTTCAGTTCTTGCCAAGGCAGCGGATCAAGGCCATCAAGGAATACTGCGAGGCGCGGGCTGCACAGGGATATACGGGGCGGCCCGGCTGCCTTCCATAGAGACAGACATGTGGGCCACAATGTGTTTCGGGGCGTCGGTCGTTTGTAAATAATATAACAGTTCACCTACTCTGTGCAACCTAGGTATGACAAGTATGAGAAGAAAACGAAGTATTGGGTGGAAGAGGACTTGGAGTTCGAGTGGGAGAAATCCAAGCAAGAGAGCGTGGCGGAAAATGCAGAGTATCAAGTCCAAGATTCCGATGGAACAGACTTGATGACTGACCCCAATGCAACCATGAACTTCGATCTCACCGAAGCCGCCCTAGGCCGGCTGCTTGGCGCTTCACGTGAGTCTCGTATCCGTGCATGGTATAAGTTTCTAGCAATGGGAAAGCGGGGGTGCAAAGGCCCTGGCCCTGCAGCCGGCCCTAGCGGGAGTGCGACTGGTGCAAAACCCGACAAGCCTGCTGCCAATACACTTTTGCCGACCGTCCTGAAGAATGAGCTGCCATCCACGGTCATCGTCCAGTACCTGTCGGGGATCACAAAGCGAGTGAACAAGATGCAAGCAACTGGGCAGCGGGTTTACACAAGCTCGGTCGTGACATCGTTTTGTACGGTTTGTCAGAATGCTTGTCGTCAGGCTTGCCTGTGTGTTTGCATCTGAGGAGATGAAGGAGAAGTACGAGGCAATCGATGATTCGAACCGCAGCAGAGCCCACTCGCAGACTCTCGGGTACTTATGTGTTTGGGCCTTTTGGGGATCTAATGTGTTTCGATTTCGGGGGCTTGCTGACCGAAAGAGGACATGCATCTTAGCATGGGCTATGCTTGTCATGGTCCTGCTCAGGATCGTCGTGAAATGCGACGAGCATATGTCTGCTCTCGAGAAAATTCATGACGAGGTTCAGCAAGTGTTTGCTGAAGGTGCTGTTGAAGGGTATACGACAACGTCACCTGGCAAATGTTTTTCTGCATTGCATATCTCAGACTGATGCTTTTGGAGTACTTTGGAGCAACCACAGGCAAGAGGATTCATTGAGGGTTCTCTACAAGAGGGCCACCAAAGCGCCTGGATCCTACTTGTTTCGTGGCATGCAGTGACCCGACACAATGCTTCATAACAAGTTCACGGGCAACCTCTCGATCCCTGTGCAGGGTTGCTGAGACAGTGACTCTGCAAGTGCGGGCACAGTGTGTGCCAGTGCCGAAAGCAGCGGCTACCAAAGCGAAGGCAAAGGCTAAAGGTAAGGCAAAGGCTGCTCCCAAGTCTGCAGCCCCGCCTGCGAAGGCTGCAGCCCGAAAGAGGTCGTAGGCAGCCAACAGCCGTCGCAATTCATCGCATCCATCCTTGACTGTTGTGGGGTTCGGGAAAGCTATGTTACATATCGGGTTTGATGGCCCTGCACATATAACCGTATATAACTCATGTACTGCACGACAGTCAGGGCGTGAGCGTTTTGTGCGACCCGTTTGGATCCAGCCAGTGGGGCTGGCTGGAGCTAGGACATCTTCATGGTGCATTCCTGCTGAAAAGTACTCTCTATGCTGGTGTTGAGTGTCCTGTATCAAGAAGCACTTGTCACATGTGGCCCATGCATGCATATGTCCGTCCTACATGTGTCGATCTTGCCAGGTCCTCGTGTGGGGCACATCGTGCGAAACACTGCAGAGTGTCTAGCCAATGGGGCCTGGGGCTCATATCTGGTTCACGTGTTGCTGTAGCCGAACAATGTATGTATACACTTCTTTGCCCAGGCACCGGCCTCTCAGCTCCGAAAGCACGCCAAGTCAGCATTGAAGGACCTTCCCAAGGACCTGCAGCCGGAAGCTCTTCGAAGGGCTGCTCAAGGAGACGGGAAAAACGCTGAGCGTGACTTGCACCGATTGTTCAAATCCCTGGGATTGGTGCTGCCCCTTCGGACGCATCACTTCCAAAGTGGACTCGAATCAATCCCCCACATCAAACTGTCGACCTGGTTCGAGTACATGCTTCACAATCACTCAGAATATGTTCTGGGCGGTTTCAAGATAGATGATGGTCACTCGCACACATGTTTGAGAGCCTTCTGGACAGCAGCCAGGAAGGAACTGGGAGGACACGTGGTATATCAACTTCATCCCGACCGATTACACAGATGCTTGCCCTACGCACTGCACATGGATGAAGGGCGGGGACTTCGAAAGTCTGCAGTGATGGTTGCTTCTGCACAGTCAGTCTTCGGCCAGGAGACTGCCCAGCGATTCTACGAGAATCTACAGAAGAAATTTTCATCGCGCATGGATGACAGCTACATCCTAGATTTGATGTTGGATGCTCAGTTTCACAACAGCAAGACTTCCACCTATCGGACCAGAATGCTACACACCCTGCTTCCCAAGTTGATGTACACCAAAGCCAGAGCCCATGTATTCGACACGTGGCTCGATCAACTCCGAGAAGACGCCACCGCCTTGTTGGAGGATGGTATTGCTGTGTCAGGTCACGGTGTATATTATCCTGTTTGTGTGGCATTCAAAGGGGATGCTCCAATGATCACGAAGGCTGGGTATCTAAGCAGGGCGTTTCACAATTTGGGCAATCCTTGCTGCTGGGAGTGTCTTGCCGGTGGGCCTCTCCTACCGTTTGAAGATTGTGGGCGCCGTCCTTGCTGGGAACCTAGCATGTACACCGAACGCCCATGGCACAGACCCTCACCCATAGCGGAGATCCCAGCGTTTCCTGATGCTGCTGAACGGATCTTCAGGAAAGACCCCTTCCACATTTACAAGCAATCTGTGGGAGGCTCCTTTGTAGCGTCATCCTTGATTCTTATGCTTGATCTTGGCTACTA